CCAGCCACGCCCCAGCTCTGCCTAAGCAGGCACTTTAGTCTGCCGAGCTATCAGGCTGGCCCTGTATCACCCACTCTTCAGGCTGACATCAGGTCTTGTCCACCCTGCTGAAAACCCGGGCGAATTCCCCGGACAGGCTGAGGGAACTCTTCTATCCATGCCACTTCAGATTTTGTAACTAACAGGTCACGCCTACTTCATCCCGTTTTACGGTGCTCTAGTGTCCTACCTTATTAAGCCCTACACATCACTATTTCTTGGTTGAAACTTTAGAGATCTTTGGGAAAATAAATCTATTTCCAAGTTAAGCTTTGCATTTGTTGTTAGGTAAAAAGAGTGGTAAGTATATTTTGAAGTGAAAATTGTAGAAAGCTGGTCAGACTTTGAAAAGATCGTGAAAACTAAGAACAGAGCCACAGGCCGTAGTATATATGGGGGCTGCTGAAGCAGTATGCATGAAGAATTTTAATTCAGAGGTGTTTTATTTTTTCCCTTTTGGGGAAACCTTCTGGCTTGATCATGTTTACAGACCCTGTCTGCCTTGTAAAGCTGTGCTCTTTCTCTCACTGAGACCTTGTTCAGGCTTGTCGTTCCATTTGAAAGAATAATTTTCAATGTCTCCTCGTAGGCTGCACATTAATCCCCCCACTGCTTGATCGATGAAACCCCACTGCATATGTCTGGAAGGAGATGCCAGAGCTTTATGCATTGCTTCCCGCTAGCCACGTCTCCACACGCCAAGGAACAGATGTGGCCGTGTAACTCTGTGTGACAGGCTCTCAAGCCATCAGATCTTGGAGGCATGACAGGTGTAGCGTCTCATTGTAACATTTCATAAATTCAAAGGCCGTGCGATTATATTGTTAATCAATGAGTTTAATTTACAAGTTCTGTATGGCATTTAATGGCCCTCGAGATGAGAATACATATCTTATTTGATTTTCATAACAATTGTTTGTAGAAAACAGAGCTTTATCATCTTCTGTTTTAGTAAGGAAGAGAGGCTGTGTTCCTTTCTCTGGGTCACATGGCTTGTGGCCATCTCATAATTAAAACCCAGATTGTCTGCTATTGTTTTATGATTCACACAATAAGCCCCAAGGTTGGGGAATTACAGAGGGCTTTCAGGAGGACTCATTTTACCCACGTGCTGAGTCCAGAGAACTAACGGTAATATAAATGTCACATTGTTGTTCACTTGAGCAGAACAAAGCAAAGAATAAGCCATTTCAATGTTGCTGCTGGGATTAGCAGTATTAGAGAAAATTGTCAAGATACTTGGAGAAGCTCTCACTGTGACCAGCCCTTCTCTGGAAGATAAGCAGGCCGGCTGGCTAGCTGTTCTGTGGCTCCTAAGGTCTTAGTGCACTGGCCTCACATTCCTGTGCCTTTCCCATGTGTTGTCTTCATTTTTGCTGGAAAACACTGGAAGGTAGGTATGTTCCCCAGAGGCAGAATCTGAGATAAAAGATGCAAGTACAAGTTCTTTATTTGAGAGAAGAAAGAAACACTGTAGGGAGGAGAGCAGGGAAAGGATGGTGGCCAATCACACAGGGGCTGTGCAACCAGGTACCCTGGGTACCTGGCCCTGAACTCAGGAGGGACCTGAGCTCCGGGTGATGCACAGACCTCAGAGACATGCCTCTGCCAAGGGTGACAGGTGGACAGCGTGGTTCTCTGTGGTTTAGGACAGAGGCCCCAGGAGAAAAAATGCAGATGGGGGCAGGGAAATGTTTTGCTAAAGGCCTGAGGGACCTGGTAGGGCAGTCAAAGGGTCTCTTCTAGTAGGGCCCAGGTTCCCCCAGCTCTCTTTCAAAGCCCAGAATAATAATTCTGGTATAATGATTCCTTAATGAGTATAGACACATTAACCTGATATCAGGGTGGGTGTGAGAAACGTTTCAAAATACACATTAAATCTTACTGTCAGAGAATATGGAAAGAAATGAGGATCATGAACGCGCAGGGAAGGCTTGTGTCCCACAGCCACTTCCGAGCAGGGATGAGCTTCTACTTACACTTTCTCGTAAATCTTGTCAGGATGGTTGGGCCACTCGATCATGCACACGACTCTGCCAGGCATGGTCTCTGTGGTCGAGTAGTAGCCCTGCGGGAAGGCGAGCAGGAGGGCCAGGACCCAGATCACACAGATGACCACTTTGGTGGCTGTGGCTGACAGCCGGGGCTGGAGGGGGTGGATGATGGCCATGTACCTGGAACAAGAAGAAAGCACAATGTTGTGATTTGGTTACATTTTAATTCCTGGTGATCTTTGTCATTATTTTCTGAATGCTTTTTATGATATTTTACCCTCATGCTCTATAATTTATAACATACATTGCTTAAATTCATAATAAAAGTATGTCTAATGTTCACAAAATATTTGAAAACTTGTTTAGCAGCATTTCAGGAGATACATTTTTCATTTTTGTTATACTTCATGCTTGTGCGGGGGACATGATAGCTAAGTCTGGGTCAGAAGCTTATGGTGGGACTGGAAGAATAAGGACAACATTGTAATTGCGTGTAATACAGAGGCTATCTTTCATGTTTTTTGGGGTTAGAAGATGCTGGTGACAGTAACACAGTCATATGCCCCATAATTGAATTTTAGTCACGGATAGACCAAGTATATGATGGTGATATCAAAATATATGTCCTGAAAGACATCTTAGCTCTCACAGTTTTTTAAAAAATGTATTTGGTACAGGGTCTCTCTATGCAGCTCGGACTCAGAGTAATCCTGTTCTCAACCTCCTCAGCACTACGCCCAGACTTGGTCACTGGCTTAGTGCGCTCGGAGATGGGACCAGTGCAGCATGTGGTGCCAGGGATTGAACCCTGGTCCCTGAACTTGCCAAACCAGGTGCTCAGTCCACTGTGCTATCTCGCCAGGTAGCCATCATAGTTTGGGTTTAATATGCTCTAGGATATCAGTATAGCTGTGGCATACACTAATGAATTTCTCAAAATATGCCCCTGTCATTAAGCAGCATATGACTGCAGTAGTTCTTAGCCTTTGTGTAGCATTAAAACAGGTTTGTAGTTCTATATCAGTTTATATGATTTCAGGGGGCATGAGTGATGTTTGTGATGAAATATTGGCCTGAAGCAGAAATGCACAGTTCCTGGAAGAATCTTCATTATCCCTTTGAACATTGAAGTCAGGGTGGGGCTACGTATACAGACTTCGTGAAGAGAAAGACAATGTTCTTATCCTAAGTGTTTGTATCCTGAAGCAGACATTCTTGAGAACAGGGAAGGCCAGGGTAGGTGTAGACTTATAGGAAAGGGAACACACTGATCAGAGATTTTGCAACTGAAGCCTTTCCTGCATCTCCTTGCTCCTGGGACCTGGACTGAATAGTATTGCCTGAATGGGTGGCTTCACATACTTGAATATTTGCACAGCCTCTGAAATGCCATAGAGATTTAAAGAATAACAAATGTTGTAATTAGCATTTCCTATCAGTGATAAGCACATCAATTCTGCCTCTTCCATTTTAGAACATCTCCCTGTGTGTATTTTTGCAAAGCATATAAATTCATCTCTTAAAACATGCATTTTTATGTTCAGAGTAGGAATATTTTAGATAGCCTCTGGGGTTTGAGTGTTATTTGAGAAAACAGCAGAATCACACACTTGATTCTTTGACATGCAAGTAATTCTGGCCCTCACGGGACAGAATGGTCAGCAGAGGCTTCAAAAAATCCACAGACAAACAGCAGCGCAGCTGTCAACTGGCTCTACATAATCTCACGTAAGTTTTTCACCATATTCTTCAGACTCCTAGGATCTCTGGTTAAGAACTAGGGCCAAGGTTACATGTAAAGTATTTCATTCAGCATGCATTCAAAAAATTCTCCCTGGGTACCTGCTGCATGTGGAGTGCAGTTTCCTTCTGGGCTATAAGCATTTTTTTTTTCCTGCAGGGAAACAAGGTGCATCAATAAGCACCCACTAAGCCTGACAGGAGGATGAGGGACTTTATGTGCTAATTTGATGGGGACCTGAGGGCCTTGGGGAAGCAACAGAGGTAATCAAGTGTTGGCCTGACAGGTGGTCTATTGGACGGCTTACAGAGGTGTGCTCAGCTGGATGTGGGGTACCCTGCTGAGTACGCCACTCCAAGAGTAGGAAGCATTTGACTTCAGAGCCCTTTCTTTCCTCTGGGTTAGGATTAGATCCGACTTCCTGGAAAGCTTGATAGCTTTGTCTGGCTGAAACCTTCCCTGACAATCCTGTTACTCTTTTAAACCTTGTAACTCCATGCTCTGCATTTTTGTGTTAGAGATTTGGGTTTTCCTTCTCTTCTCATTTAGAGCATTGATACCAAAAAGTGGTATGTAGAGGTTGGGTATTGGAGGAATGCTTCTGGTTGGCCTTAAAATGCACAATCAGAAGTCATGCTAACTCTCAGGAAAGAACTCCAATGAATCTTTTTCTTGGTCTCTTTTGTAAAGTAAGAAGGTAGTCATAAGTCAGGAGAGTGGATTGAGAAAGAGACTTGGAGAACATATGGGTGAGGGAGTGAGCAGTAAATCTTTTGATATATTTCTCTGATTGAGTAACAGGGCAAAACAGCCTGTCATTCAAACACCATCCAAATGATGTCAACAAGACAAAGAGAATTCAAGTCTACAGGTACTGCTAGTCGCCAAAGGGCTCAGGACACCATGGGGAAGGTTTGGTACACCACAGACTTGACGATGATCTTTCATCTCTGGCATAGTCTTCTACAAAAGGACTCTAATGGATCTTGATTTCTGTCTTGGACCTGTGTCATCCTCAGTACCTGACAGTGAAGGAGAGTTGGTTTCCTCTATAGCCATGGGGTGGTGGTAAGTAGAGTCACTCCAGAATCACAGCCAATGGATTTATGCCTGCAAAACCACTGCCTTTACCTTTTTCCAGGTTGGGCAAAGGACTGGAAGGTCAGGGCTAGAATCTCTTTGGGTGTTTGTGTTAAAATCACAGCATTGCTTGCTGCATCATTTCCTAAAGGCAAGATATTGTCCCCCTCTGAAACTGGACAGGCAGCAATAGGTGCTTTATTTTGAACTCTGTTGCGAGGTTAGATTGAGCATGTTCTTCAAAGGCATAGTGCATTGATAGTGGGGTGACTGAATTATAAGGATGATACAACTGGCTCAGGAGATCCTGTCTGGTTAGAAGGGGTGTGTCACTGGGCTGGGGGAAGGAAGGAAATACTTATCTCACTTTCTGGATATTCGCTTGACTTCCCAGAAGCCAAGACAGGAGCAGCTTTCTGACACTGAGGTCCTTCTACCACGTGTGTCGGTATTTTAGCCCTCTGAACACGGATGGAAATTCTGAAATTCTTTTCTTTATTTTTATTTTTAGGGAAGGGTCTATGAGGTGTTCAGGGTCTCACTACTAGATCAGACTCATAGTGATCCACCTGTTTACAGCCTCCCAAGAGTTGGGATTACAGGCGCACACCACTACGCCCAGTCTCAATGACCATCTCAGCACACCCCGGAGGTGGGACCGGCATGGCAGGGCTGGGGATCAAACCTGCTTGCAGGTGCTTTAATCTGCTGAGCTATTTGGATAGCCCTGGAAATTCTGAAACTCTGAGCCAAAAGAAACTTCTGTTCTTTTACATTGTGGGTCTTGGATATTTGTCCCCACAATGAAGGAAGTGACTAAGACAACCTCTGATTTAGGCTTCTATTCTCACAGGTGACTGCACTGTAAGATTTCAAAAGAGTTTGAAGAAGATGCACAGGGGAGAAATTGGGAAATACATTGCCCTCTTTTAATATCCTCAATGCAAGATTTTAATTTGTTTTTAACTGGGGATAATGCTGAACCTTAAATAAGTGAATCCCAGTATCATCCTCTTACCCAAACTGGTGATACACTACTTCAAAGCTAATGCGACTGTGCTTAAGGGAGATTGCTTCAGTATATTGGTGCCATAGCTTTAAACAGGTGGCAGAAAGCCATATTTTATCTTTACTGCAAAAATTGCAATTTGGGAACACATTTCAGCTAACTGTCATTCTTTGAATATAGGAGTCATTTCACTAAAAAATGGAAGCATTGCACATATAAAGCCAGAAAAATAGGGCCAGCCAAATAGCTCAGTGGATGAAAGTACTTGCTTAGGCAGAGAGCAGCAGCCCAGGTTTGACCCCTGGTGTGCTGTGCTGGCCTTACCCCTAGGATGCACTGAGACAGAGTCTGAGATTGGGTGTGGTGGTGCACACCTGTAATCCCAGCACTTGGGAGGCTGAAAACAGGAGGATCACTACAAGTCTGATCTGCATAGTGAGACCCTGCAGACCCTGTAACCAAATACATTAAAAAAGCTAGACAATAAGAAGAGTTTGGCTTTATAAAGCATACATATTTTCAGATGTGGTATTTTTATACAATGGAGTATTACTGAGCTATAAAGAATGATAAACTCAAAGCCTTTACAATTAAGTGGATGCCACTTGAAGATGTATTCATAAGTGAAATAAAACAGACTCACATGTGTAAATATCTTATAGTCTCCCTAGTAAAAGAACTCAGAAGAAGAAGTAAAAATAGAAAGGTAAACACAATTAAAAAGAAAGTGAGAATTTGAGGATTAAACAATGAAGAGAGGGCAAGGAGAAAAGCTAGGAAACATGACAGGGGAAAAGCCATACATTTATATACACAAGATGATTAAGGCAATGATCCTGAGAATTTTCAGCAGGTTTTTGAAACTAGCAGTTAATTGGAAGGATTCTCACCCTGACTAACTCTATACACTGATACCGTGAACTACGCAGCTGCAATGAAGATAGCGACGTATAAGGTAGGGTCATGCTTGGAATGCCTGTCATGCTGGTCTTCTAAATATGTACTGCTTGTCATGACATACCAATTACTGCCATATTGTCTTTCAAGTAAATGTTAGTTAAAAAAAAAAGGAGTAATAAATGAAAACAAGAGACAAGAAAAAAATGTCACCGGACTGTCCTGTTACAATGCTGTATATGGTTAGATTTCTAAATTTCTGTGTAAAATATATAATTGTTTATTCCTATTTTTTAAATTTTTTTATTTTAATTTTTTCCTTCATATTCTGTAGGGGCTCAAAGTATAACATATCAATGCTTGATGGAAAATACCTGTTCCATGTTATGTCTAAGATGTTTGATATTCAGACAGATAGTAAGGTTAAGCACAACTGCCTACGTTGTAAGGTAA